CTTCATTCCCTCATGAAAGGACCTGATGATGCTAAGGAGTCGAGGAGGACATCCAATCTTAGGAAGTATTTTAAAAAGACCATCCCTGCTAACCAAGTCAAATGCTTTTGTAAGGTCTATGAAGGCCACTAAGAGTGGCTGTTGTTGTTCCCTGCACTTCTTCATTGTAAGGGTTGCACAATTATGTAGGGATTAACATATTTCCAGGCTATGGGATCCCTTCCGTACTCAGAATGCTAAGGTCTATTAGACCAGTGGTTCTCAAACTTAGATGCCCAGATGTTCTTGGACAGCAGCTCTCAAAAATCCTGGCCAACACAGCTAGTGGTGAAGTTTTCTGGGATTTGCAGTCAAAGAACGTCTGGAAACTGCAGTTTGAGAAACACTGCATTAGACAGAGAGATCCCCTAATTGGAGCTTTTTTGGCCGTTTTCTGCTGCATTTCTTGAAACTTTTAGTGGCTTTTATACAGTTGAAGGATGCTAATACTTCGCATCAAGTTGACGGATTCTAAGACATCAAAGTTGGCCAGCAGAGCTGAAGAGAGAAAAAAGAGCTGTACCAAATGAATCTGTTCCAATTTTACCGATGAGAAACACTGAAGTTGAGACAAAAACAATTTGCACAAAGTCAGACTCATGGCAGAACGTTGTTGTTTTTAATTCCTTTGCTAGAGAACCCTAATCTTAAAGGCTCCTCGACTGCATGGAATACCCCCACATGAAGCAAAAACTTTAGATTGCAAATTTTGTGACCACAGGGTGGCAGAGACTAGCTCGTCCCCTTTCAGATTAAGGGTTTTCCGGACACCTGAATTGGTAGTAATCATGTGCCATAAAGTCAATTTTCAGGTGTCTTTTCAGGATTTGCCAGGTAGACAATACTCAGAGGTAGTTTACCATTCCCTTCTTCGGAGGGGTGCCCTGGGACTGTGCAGCTTGCCCAAGGCCATCCGGGCTGGCTCTACTTCCAAGAGACACCGTGGAGAATCCAACACCCAACATTTGACTCCACAACCAGACATATGAACTACTGAGCTATCTAGCCAGTCTATAGACAGCATATAATCAACAAAATGGAAAGATGTTTCCTTATCTTTCCTAAATGGAAAAATGTGATGCTTCTTCCTACCTCCCCACAGTTCACTTTGGGTGGATGTCAAGTAAACAGTGGGACGAGTCATCGCCTCTCCTCTTCCATTACCTGCAGTGGTGATCTCTCCCTGGCAAATGAGAGGGCTGGGATGGGTGAGTGGCAGGCCAAGCCTCAACCTGCCACCCTGAATGAAACGGGGAGGCTCGTCACCTTTCTTTCTAAGACATAACAATTGCAGAAACTCATACGCGTTCATATCTCCCATTTGTGACAATTTAAAGCCCAGCTTCATATTCAGCTTTGCTGTAAAGCAAATGCTTGGGGGCTACAAAATGATGCAGATAATGAACCCTTATTAGAATGTGAATGGTCGAAATGAAACTCCGGCTGAACGTTTTGATACTTACATTTCAGGTACCTTATTTGAGAGCACCATTTGGAATGGAAATGGCTCTCCCATTCATCCGCATGTCAGTCGGAATGCCCACATGAATGGCTGATGGATTGCCTCAGAGCTAGCATTTGTACATGAGCACCCGAATTTTTTTTTTCTTCTTTCAGAATTTTATCTGTAGCCTTTTTAGGAAGGTGTTGCTGCTCTTCTTCTGCCGGTGGTATTCTTGACCTCCCCCCCCCCGTTGCAGCCCAGCGGTGTCAGGGAGCTTCTAATAAGGGCAAGAAAATTGAGTAGAGTTGGCGATGGGTCTTATGAGGCACCCCAGGGATCAGCTCAGATTCACAAAAATAGGCTGTCATTTAAGGCAGTGGTTCTTAACCTTTTTGAAAGAAATGCCCTCTTGAGTCATTGAGGAAGTAATCATCGCCCCCCTCCCCGCGGTGATGATATCTTATTTATTTATTTATTTATTTATTTA